GGGGGGGGGGGGGGGGGGGGGGGGGGGGGGGGGGGTGGCGATAATGCGAGCACATAAATGCACGAAACGCACTAGCAAGTGGGTGGACAGTAGGGTTCTTGAAAAAGCACGCACAAGTGCGCACGTGCCCGAGACTGGGTGGGAGGTGGTGTCGGGGGAAGGGGGGAGTATTCAAATGTACCGATTGGTTGGTTGGTGAGATTTGTGCAGCGTTTCGTATCAGAAGTCTGCAAAATCCTTGGCGCACTTCTCCGTCGCCGAGATGCGAAGCGGCTCTTCTTCGTACTCGTCAAAGTTGTCCGCATCACCGGGACCCTTGCATTTTGGAATGAAAGGCGCCTCCGCCTTCATCGGAAAAAAAGTAGGAGACCATTAAGCCACTTATACGAATTTTCATTCTCGATCTAATAACTTTGTTGGGCATTTGTTTTAAGAAACATAAATATTACGTGGAAGTAAATTAGAAAAACGTTTTATACGTTGTTTCCAACATTGCAGTCGTTATTTTGATTGCTTTTCTGGTACAGAAGATGGTGGAATGGGCATTTGACAACGAGTAATTTGGTGCCCACAAAGAAAGTCTCTCTACGCCATATAAATTTAACCCCATTCGTTGGTTCGTTGTGCATGTCATGGGCGGTAGTTACATCGAAGTTGAAGGTTATCAATTGGGGAAAAATCACATCACGCACTCGGTAAGAGGCGAATAACCGATGCTAATAGCCAGGTATTTTGAAGTTCCTGGCTATTAGGGATGGATTGTTAGTTTAGGAAATGAGGGGTTAAACCACGGGGGTAGGTGTCCCAGCATAGATTTCTATCCAGATGCACGGGATGGAGAGCCGGAAAAAGCACTAGAACATGCACGATCACCGGTTGTGAAATCCGCGATTAGCCTGGTATGCAGCTGAGACACACAACAGCAGAGGTCAATATCTCCTATTGGGGTTCTCAACCCTGAGTTAGTTGCCCGATTTTAATGAGTGACCAATTCATCAACGTCAAGTGACATCACACAGACTGTATTCACGTGAAAGATACCAGAGGATGCATTAAATGCAAACACCGTTGAGTTTTTACTGCATCGAGATGCACAGCCATAAACAGTTCCCACGTATTTTATCACGGGTGAATTAGGTTAAACACAAGACGATGAAGAGAAAAAACCAACACCCTGTTTACTACAACAGGGTGTTGGCGATGGCCCTTGCCATTCATCACGCGATGGGCAGAAATTTACATAAAATTTCACACCGACTAGGTCTTACTAGGTTAACTTGAAGCACACAACTTATAGTAAAACCGTAGGGCAGCAAAAGGGTAAGCTGAAAGGAATTTCAAAATGATATCATTAATCAACAAAGAAAGTTTAAATTCGCCCACCGTGCAAACCAGCCACCAACTCACACCACAGTATTTGTCCCTCTATACTGCATCCTAAGACAGATCTCAAGAGCAGACACTGAGGGTAGACCCTATGCCAAGCTAAGTTAATTGACATTAATGCATTAAAACGCTGGCGAGATGCATTGTAACAAGACCGCAGTGTAGTTCCCCACATACATCTAGCCTGATGTAAAGTAACCCGGAAAACGCGCTTAAGAGACAAACAGGGTGGGCACGAAAACGTCTCCACCCGCCCTGTCTGCCCAAAAATAACCAGCGGTAGTTAGTATATCATGCCGATTTCACTGCACACATCAAATGAAAACGGTAAATTTACTTATGTGGGTAAAACAGCTCTCTCAAACCATCCTTCTATTGCCCAAAAAGGGAATTTTGCACGTTACTTTACAAAGAGAATGTTTGCGTTTTCTCTGCGAGCAATTTATAAGCTACGTCGTGGTCGGTTGGTAATTTTAATGATGGCACACAAACATCCAAATGAGAAAAAAAACACGATAAACCTTTCACGAGACCAGTCAACGTGCCAACAAGTAGTGCGATAGACAAGCGTGGTGCGTGCTTGGGTGGACTAGGTCTGATCAGGAGACATCGTTTGTGTGTTTTCAAGGAACTGGAGTGAAACCGAAACAAAAAATGGGCAAAAAGCCATCCCCACTGCGGCAGTGGTAGGCGAATACAAGCGCTACTAAAGGGCAAAATAACATCCAGAATGGGTTCATTAGGGTGTAACCACGCGAAACGAAGTACCTGGGGGAGGAGCCATGGACGAGCATAATATTCGGAAACAACCACGATCACGTGGAAATAAGTATGCACTCAGTTGGTTAACATTAACAGACAGTACTTTTATTAAAAATGACAACAGAAGACGTCTGGTTGTATTTACCGGAGAAACGAACCACTGGTTTAAGGCGTTCAAGCGATGGGCTAGCTTACGTCAAAGTGGATTTAAACCAAACGCATAAGACCACTTAATTCAAGTTATGCAAACTAAATTCCGGAATACACAATTGTCATATCCAGCCGGGCGAACTTAAGTGAAATGGCTTTTAAGGCAATCTACCTCGAATTCGGAATTCCCTGTTAAGGTATGAAAGCTACGTTCAAAACGAACTCCTATGGTAACTAAAAATAATTCGAACCGAAATGGCGCATTACGCTAGGAAAACAGGGGAAAACGGCAAACAAAACCAGGAATCTGGGGCCACAGCGTCAGAGGAATCAATGCTTTGTGATTGGTTGACAGGTCTAAACACACAGTTGCTTACCTCACATTTGTAGATGACGAACCAATCGGTAGTGGCGAACCATTTGTGGTTTTTGATGTCGTTGACCCCGTTTTTCAGGTTTCCATAACGCTTGGTTAGGTCAACTTGAAGCAAATTACGAAGCAGATCCTTTAAATCGGAGCTGAAATGAGACGGGAATCGGACCTACCAAGGAAAAGGAAGAGCGTAAGCCGGAGTTATGATTGCTGCATAACTTCAACCGCATAGAGGAAAACCGCCCACACGTAAAAGAATTACAAGTGGATAAGGCCCAAAGAGATTCAGCAAATAACGGGGTCTAAATTGATTGTTTAGCAAGGAACTGAAAACGGCTATTTGGTAGTGTAGAAGAACAGACGCGAACATGAACAATAACACTGCTTATTTTGTCAACCTGTCAACAATTACGCATAATAGGACACCCGGTTTTCTGCGCAATTACTCCACAAGTTATGATGATTAGTTGTTGGTTTTGTTCGAACAACAACTTGCCAAGGGCGTCAACCACGAAGACACACACACACACACAACACGATTTCAGGTTGTGGATAACGGGATGTTTTATATTGTATCACATGAACAATTGCTTCAGGTCAGGGAACAATACCGACTATCACTCCAGTATTTCTCATTGAACAAATTGAAACTTGTGTTAAAACACTGCCAATTGCTCTAAACCGATTTGAAAACAAGAAAATTGCACCATCCCATGACAATCTTGACAGACATTGAAATGCAAAGGCGTGTTCATTACGAGCCTTGAATACAGTGTCACTGCATTTGTTTCTTTTCTTGGAGAAGTACACGCAAAAATAATGGGCCATCGCAATGTCAAAGTAAATCGTGATATTTTTTAATATAACTAGCGTATCACGATGTAACCCTCAGCGAATCCCCTCGTTTCTATGCCTTTTTTTTCATTTTTAGTCTCTCCTTCGATACAACGGAGGCAGCAATGGCGCGGCTCCACCATAAAGCTTATCTGCAGCCACGTGGAAGATTAATTAAAAGAGTCCTAGAAGTAACCTTTCACCATTATCTGAGTACATTAATCAGCGCGTTCACCTTCACCGTCGATGCCTCCTGCCAAAAACAGTTGATTTAACCCCAGTAAGGTCATTGCTATATGACTAGCTGAAGTGGTGCGCAATAAACGCAAGTTTGCTCTGGAGATGGGACAGAACTGCCATGCATGAACTCGCCCCATAAATTCCTAGACTCTTCATGCAGACCAGCCGTGCTCCGTGTGGACCAAGTGAATGACATAAATTCCTAGACTCCGCACAGCAATTAGTTTCGAAACACTGGGATTTGAGTGGGCGGCGGTACGCAAGCACCAATCGGCCCAAAAGACCATAAAATTGAAATGTAGAGCAGGCGATAGGGCTGAAGATTACTTCCAGAGATCATATTTCGGCGTTATGGCCCGAGGATCTTTAACATGAGTCTCACACAACAAAATAACTTAACAATCGACTTTACACCAAGTCAGCTTGTAAAAATAGGAAGAACATTGAAAGAAATGAGCTCCTCGGAAGTCTGATGCATGGAAAGGCCAAAGTAAGGGGAGTTCGAGCGCTCGAGTGCTTCCATTTTGAGCGGTTGATGGCGTTCAACAATCGAGTAATCGTGTGACTCCATCGAACCAGAGGAATAAGTGAACTACAAGGCATACTGTGTCTAGCGGTCGTCGTCAAGCCGTGTAAAATTATAACATATTCAAATCTTTTAAGTATTGTGGACCATAGTCTGACTTGGGTAAAAGATAAACTTGACAGTAATGTAAAGGAATGTAAGGAAGGCTGGCTTAGTGTGGTTCTCGAGGCCTGTGACGACCTGTTACTGGTGATTGCGAGGCTAACCGTAAGGACAACCACAGGATAGCCTGAATTTACACATTTGATTTGAACAGCATCTTAAAACCCCAAAAGTTTCGTTTACACTAGTTACCACGGGACTTGAGTGCTTGAGCACACAATATTTCGGGTCCATAGTGAAGCAGAATATAAACCACGCCAACATGTGTCGGTGTTAATAAGCGCAAATGGACGCAAGTGAGAAGGTGTGGACAGCCGAGGTGAACAATAAGAATGCTGTAAACACTTCCGTGGCAAAATCTCCATTAGACATCCGCGTGCATCGTCGTGGTTTGAAACAGCCCGGACCAGGTTCCGACCTTGACGTGCCGGGGAAGTCCAAGATGGTCAGACATCTGTGCACAGCGGCCTTACTAAGCCAAGTCAACCAATTACGGCGTGGTCATGGGAAACAGAAAAACGGTGGATCGCGCAGAGCCTGTTTGTCAGGTCATGCGGGCTGGGTGTTTGTGCGTCCACATAAATGACGACCAGGTTTGAGGTAGCGGATTAGTGATTGGCTAACGGCTGCAGCCGAAAATGTTTATGTTTACGGGGTCATGCAGAGGATTCTTTACTGACAATTTTTGACTTCAGTTAAGAACAGCCTTCGATAAAGTTAACTCAAGGAGTTAACAACCAATAACTGGGACATTGCATGCATCAGTATCAAAACCGTATCATTTAATCTGACAATACAGGAATCGAACCTTTCCAGAAACGATCTTCTCGTAGATTTGAATCGGCTGATCTGCGTAGAATGGCGGATAACCAGCAGCCATTTCGTAGACTAACACGCCCAGAGCCCACCAATCGACTGCTTTGTTATAACCCTAAAACCAATTGAAAGCAAGTTTAAAGTTAGGTTATCTCTTTACAGGATAGACCTTACCATGAACCAGAGACGGCAACGGTTAGGGGAAGTTTAGCACGCACAGTGATACGAACGCATGACATAACCTGTCAGTCTTCTGTCTTACGGACTTGTTAGAGCACTTTTAACACATTTTCATTTAGCATATAGGAACACGATTTAAGTGATTTAATTACACAATTACTCCGCTGGCTCGGGAAAAAGTCTCTGCGGTTCATAATTCACATAATTTTTGTTTCAGTGCTTTAAAATGAAACGTCAATTTTCAAAAAGGTGGATGTCCGGCGCCTGCGGTTATTTGCATCCAACCGTGACGAGAAAATGCGGTAGCCGCCAAAGCTACTATGTGGCCAGGAGATGCTATGCCAGCTGGGGAAACGCAGGAAAGTGCTGTGTGTGTGTGGATGGATTGTGAAGACACCCTCCGTTATAAGCTTCTTCCGTACAATGAGGCAGTAGTGTTAAGTACACACATATCGACGTAACACAGCCTCTCCCATTGATGTTGTGGCGTACTATTGAAGTACGACATTGCCCTCTGACACACGGTCAAGGTGCCACAAACTACAATCCAAACTCTTGACTGAAAAATCAGCTAAATCCTCAATACATTCTAAACCCGGCTCCACCGTGTGAAGTGTCGTTCAAAACTCACATGGAATTAAAAACGTCGTTAGACGAATTTTGGACTCAAAAATCACAAATTTTTATCATGAAGACATCGAAAAACTTGTTGTAAAGAAGTACTGGATAACAACAAAGCATAAATTATCGACGAAAAGAGTAGTAGTTGAAACCAAATTTTCATTTATGCAATAAACAAAGTACAATAAAACCACAATGAATTTTTTCCCAACCCACTAAATTATAGTCTATTTTGGGGTGAATTTTTCCCACAGGGTTTTACTTCCTCGTCGCTCAATTTTTTATTTGTTTATGCTGAAACAATAAACAAGCAATAACTAGGCAATGACAAATCTCTAAGCAGTCCGAGAACAAAGTTGGTTGTCTAGTGAAATTTAGTAGAGGTTATTATCGTGATCAGTGAAGTCGTCCACTGTAGAGTCCACTACTATTCACGTCCTCACACCAGACAGTAGACCGCCTTTCTCCACTCACTGTTCTGTTCGCACAACAATGCAGTCCCAAGTGCCCACATTTCGTATCTAGTCACGACGCTATTGGCAAACGACAAACAACTTTTCAAATGCCCATGTACAGGCGCTCGCCGCAATTTCGGATTGCCTTAAAGTTCTTTCCTTACAAATCAAACGGTGTGCGAATCGATGGATCATTTATCGGGTATCGTTTTCGCGGGTGACCTTCTGTTTAGCACAGTATTACCACACACAAAACACAATTACAACCAACAGTTGTTTTCCTGTTGAAACAACCAAGTCAAAACGTGCAATTACTGGTAATACTTCATCAAACCGAACTTTGGTGAATTACATTGAGAGTACAAAATAAAGTTTTAACTTGGTCAAATTATTACTTATGAATTAAATACAGAGAAACCTTTCAAAACCGCACAATAGCTAGGTACAGGTAACCAACTGTTGACCAATGACTTCACGCATACACAAATCCACACAAACTTGAGCAGACGAAATAGCAACGTTTCAATTCAGAATAAGTCCCACGTTTGCAAGGTAGTTTTTCTGCATGTATTGTCAAAACACTTAAAAAGTAGTCATCAGAGAACAAAGCGGAGTTTTAAATCGGCACTTGCAGCCACTGCTGAGTGGTTCGACACGTGCGGACACACAGAAAGAACTGCCGGCTGATAGTCGACGCATAAACTGCAGTTTTTTGTGTGTTGTGGCGCCACGCGGACAGGATTTCACCCCATATGGTGAACCACAGGTATTCTGCAAGATACATTTAGCCAATCAAACCGCCGAACATAGAATACAGCACTTTTTGAATCAGGCCATGGTTTAAAGCACTGACCAAACCACAGTAGCAAGCGTAACTCACTGACTACACAATTCACGACATGTCACAATGGGGCGAAAGTGGGACCGTATCTGTTTGAAAAAATGAAGCATGAGCAACGCCTCTTGATTTTAACTTAGCCTGTCTAGCAACATTTACAAATTAATACATTTCCCTGCACATCGTAACCGCGTCAACAAAATGGGCGCGTTTCTCTTGAGTGTATAAATATGTTTTGACGACGTACGCGCATACAATACGCACGAATGAAGTTGATGTGACATTTCGTTTGGCGTTCAGCGGCTAGATTCACGCAATAATAAGGGGTTTTCGTAAAGCTAAAACTCACAGGCAAAATTATTCAGGAATTACTGGTGTATAGTAAAACGGGCTGCCAATACGTTCAAGATCTGCCTTAATGCTGTTTCTACGTTACTAAAAAGTGGCCATGTGACATCACAGTTAAACTTTAACAGGAAAGAACATAAGCAAATCACAAATTGACATGTTTTTGAGAGAAACGTTTGAGTCCGATTAAACTGTAGTCACCTATATCTGACTTTAATAAAGGTTGCTTCATCTGAAAATTTTAATGGGCCTTAGTTTGAACCCATTTGCTATTTCATCACCAGTTTGATGCGAGATTAGTTCAAAATGCCGTATCTTTTACTTGATTACGATAGCTGAAGTTGAACCAAAACTGCGATTAATTGCAAATGCACCAAAAATGGCTCGATTTTTTTGGCTCAGAAGACAAGATACCCTAATGAAGACGTGAAACTGACTAGTTGATGTCGATTGACACGGGTGCTGTTAGATGACTAAATAAAATACCCGTCAATGGTGATTGGTTGTTTGGATTCACCAATGATTTTCTAACCGTGTTATTGCACATGTATACGACAGTCTGGGATACGCTAATTTTCGAATCGTGCGAAGACAGTGATTACAGAAAGGTATTTGTCAAACAGCGGAATGATGCAACCGAAGCCCAGAAAGGATGTTTTACTTTTATCTTTAAAAGCACACTCGAAGGCTCTTCAAGGAAACAACGGACACACGGCATCTTTGCAAAAGAAGCAAATGAAGCAAAAAGGCACCTACATCAAAGGTTGTGTGTTAAAAAGCGTTGTAAACAGGTTAGGGCTATTCCAGAACAAACCTCCTCCAATTAAACGCAAAGCACAATTGGGACTTCGTAAATAGGCCCGGATGCTGACGTTCTGGGTAAAGGTACTTTTGGGCGAAAACACTGCCGTGGACTACACTAGGAGGAAAAGCACACTTGCACTGCCTACGCGGTTGACAATTTGAGGTGCCTGTCCACGAGTAAAAATGCACACGCCATATAAAAAAACCAAATGCTGTTTGATTTTAAGCATACAATTTTTGCTACTTTCAATCCAGTCGCCTTTTGAAATTCATCAAGTCCGCGAGAGTCTAGTGCTAGAGTCAGTAAGGTATTTAGTTATTTAGTGGAAACATGGTTTGTGCCAGATCTCTTGAAAATAATGTCAGAAATGTCAAGGTAGCTGCATCTTGATCATCATATTTCACCTACAAGTGATGAGCGCTATCGCCGTTTTACAACCGTAGTGCTACCATCTACATGGTGAATTCATTTAAACTAACTTTGTAATTTGCATTACTTGAGATTTACCTGATAGAATGTACTATCGGAGGTGCGCATCAAGTTTGCTGAATCACAGCGTACATAACTACTTGGTCGTTTGCAAGGGGATTTAGTTGACGTAATTACAGACAAAAAAATAGGTAAAAAAGTTGGTTAAGTTGCAGAAAAACGGGGATAATTGACGCCATTAGAGAAAATATAACATCAGTACACTCGATTATTAAGAAGCACACAATGAGGTGGCGAGCCCTGGTATTACAAATAACGGCACCATCTCCTTACTAGCCTTATTTAATCCAATGATCGAAGGCTGAAGTTGCTACGATACAAAGCAGCAGAATCGGAAGTCACTTCTGACCATTAAAAAAATGCCAATTTACATACAGACTGCCCGCGTTTACTCAACGAAAAATCACGTCGCACCAAGAAATTGGTAGTAGACGGTAAACGCCACAGAAAAAGCAAACACCGGGTCCATCTCGGAAGCAGACCTAAACGTTCGTTGTCGCGCCTTAGGTCCACAGGGGTGGCGTAAAGGAAAAAGGCAGTGTCTAAGTATGAAACTCACGAAATCGTCCATCAAGACTACAGTGCGGTGAGTACACTGGTGGCTAGGCATACAGCATACGCGAGGCCGCATGTTACAGCTCTGAGTAATGAACGCTCGATTTTGGTGCAAGGTATTAATTCACGAAGAAGGCAACAAAGCGAAATACCGAATAATGAGCAGCTTTTTTGGCAGCAAAACATCCTATTTGCACTAGCGGCCACAATACCAAAGGGGAATACGTTGCGTGGGAACCAGATGCGCAACCCACAAAGTCGAAACATTGGACACTGCCAATCAAGCACCACACAGGAATACACACAACTTTAAGCTCTCAGGCCTTGTGTCGTCGATTTACATCCAAGTGTCTGTAAACAGGTGTTTATAAATGAAAACACATGACAAAAACGCCATACATGCTGCCAGCATGTGTTTGTGACCTGAACCGGCAGGCTGTCTTGACGATCTATGTCCGGGTTTGGCAACCTGATTGTGGGTCAGACACGAAGTCAGTATGATAGTGGCTTCTTCGTGCATAAAAAACGGACTGCCACCACTTTTGGACAAGTACGGCTCAAGTTGCAGACACGCAAAACAAATAAATAAATGGACTGCTAAAGGGTTGCACTACCAGAAACCTCCCATTCCTTGTCTAACCCCGAGAAAAAACTGGCAACCCAAATTTACCCCTCCATGACTAGACGAATTTCCGCTGCCAAGGCACCTCCCATGCTGCCCGAAAGCTCCGCCCATCCTTGACCATAAGTATTTGCTGAAGCAAGGACGAGTTATTGTGACCACGCACCGCTTACGTATCTGCACTACCACCAGACGTAGTAGACGTTCGCGCGCTCGTGGCTTGCGTGCAAACGCGTGGACAACAAGTTGGCCAGATGATTGGACTGGCGGAGTAGACGTTCGCGGACGCGCGAGGCCACACGGCGGCAATCGCGTGGGCTTTGGGAGTGCACGCGGATGGACGCGAGCGCACGTTTGGCTGACCTCGCCGCGCACACACGCACGCACGCACACGCACATCCCATCGACCACGTTCAGACGAAATCAATGATGCAATTCTAAGCCCACTGCGCGTTCTGATGCGTTTCATGCCACGCGCACGCGCGCTGAGCGTCTGATCCCCATGCCGGGCCTAGTGCGCGTGCACGCGTTGCCGTTCTGCCACCACCTTCAAGTTATTGCATCCTATCCGTCTTAATAATACCAGAGGATAATTTACTGTCTAACATGATAAACCCGTCTTCTGTTGCCGACGATGAAACGGATTAGGCACAAAACCCGCATTTAGAGCTACCCAGGGGTCATGTGGAAACGACCCTCCACGAATAACGGAAGTATGTGTTAATCGTATTAAAAAAGCCAAGAATCAGAGGTACAGATAATTAACAGTTCAAAGAGGAGTTAGAATTTTGCGTGACCCTAGGTCATAAATCAATTCAGCTATGGGAAGAAAATGAGATGGATGTAATAAAACTAAAACCAATCTTGAGAAAGTACGCAAAAATCGTAACCACCGGATCACGCCTTACTCAACAACAGCAAATAATCGAACAACTGGATGTCATCTTAAAGTCTTGAACGAAACACTTAACCACAGAGAGCACAAGAAAGGTAAGAAAGAACAAAAAAATTACTGAGTGTAAGTGGTTGAAACAAAATAAAAAAACGGCAATTACCTTGCTGAGGATAATTTCGGGTGCCAAGTACTCAGGAGTGCCACAGAGAGTCCAAGTTCGACCCTTAACTCGCTTGGCAAAACCGAAGTCAGTGATCTACAAAAAAAAACGCGTGATAAATGCATTGCTTTGACAAGATCACCCGACTAGATTCAAGTCTTAAAATCACGTGACATCAGGCACCATATTGGAGGCCTGGAATCTGCTTGACCCCGCTTCCAGGTCAGTAAAAGTTGTCGAGATTGTGTTGTTTACACCTGCACACTTAGCCGTCTTGTTATTGCCCAACCGACAACGACTTGAAAAGTAAAGAGAGCAAAGGCACCGACAATAACAAAAGGAAACATGCTACGACTTGGTTTTTCTATTGGGTGACTGTCAAGCTGCTTCGAGAGACTTTTACTTCATTCAACAACGCGATACATTAGGTGTACAACAAGTTTTATTCAAATTCAACTTTTTATTGAAATTTACTTCAAACTGGGTTAAAAATGGAGCAAAATCAGGAAGAAATGAGACAAATTTCATGCAGACTTGTAATACTGTCCTCTCTATGCTGTTTTGTCACTGATCACAATGGTTTCGAAGGCAAAGGAAACGGTCTACCATCAAAGACAGAAGCATTCACCTCTGGATGAACAGAATTCTTGTCTGTATTTTTGTGTGTATGCATTGACTAGTCACGTTCCACTCGACGATTTTCAGCAAACAGGCTTTTTCATTTGTGACAAAATTTCCGCCAGCTCATTTTGAGTCCCAAATCAGAAAAACAGGAACTGCTTCATCTGCTAAACATTAATAATCCATTAATACGTCTTTTTAATCACTGTGCAATGAACATTAATGGATTTTTAAATCGATGCCAGGGTTGCAAGCTAATCACCGCCACCAATATCTCATCCAATAAGCATCTTTCCATTTAGAGATTAATCGACCACGATTCTTGGGAAACTCGATAATAAGAAGTCGCTGAAAACAGCGCATATCGGCCAGCCAGAAAATAGATGAATTGAACTTTAAACAGACTCTGATAGCAGAATGACAAGGTTAAATCACATGCACAATTAAATAAAACACCTGCTTTAAGTCAAACCTATCATGAAACACTGAGATCAAGGAATAGGAAAAGGAGCATAAAAAGTCAGTACAAAGAATGTTCAACGAATTTAAACCGAACTCGTGAAGATTCAAAGTTCTCCAGAAGTAGCATGTAAGCAAAAATCACAGAACGATTCTTTCATAAACGTTTAACAAAATCAGACATCAACATGTATTAAAAAAAACTAAATTTATTCAGTAACATATATTGCTTTATTACAAAAGTGTTTAATCAACAAATAAATGAAAAACGAACCTTAAGATATCCATGTTCATCAATCAGGATGTTTTCAGGTTTGAGGTCCCGATAAACCAACTCGAGATGGTGCAAGTACTCAAATGCAAGTACAACCTGACTGGCATAGAAGCGTGCATGGCTTTCACTAAAACCAAACACGAAACGTTCAAGAAGTTTGCGGCGAATAACAATGCGGGGCACGGAAGCTAAGGTTTATGCAAGGCGTTCGTTGCGACAAGGTTAGTAGAACAGAGGGAACCTGAAGCCTAAGTTCACTTCCACAAGGCGACTCGCACGAGAGTGAAGAGGTGGTATTGGACAAAATCAACCATAAAGACACGCAGTTTGGTTACCATATTTTTGAAGCTTAGATACAAACGCAAGATAACTGCAAAATCGCGAATTTGGGACAAAGGGTAACAGGCAACTGCCTGAAAGAACGTCAAAGCAGTTTGCTGACGTAAATAGTTATCAGTAATGAAGCATAATACCTGGAATAGGTTAAAGCGGGGGATTTAAGCGTTCATCTTATTAAAAAGGCAACAATATTTAAATCAATGAAGAGTATAAGGTTGGCTTATAGCATCAGACAACTTAAGTGGGCTCTTATAGCCCTGAGAATAAATTGTTAATCCCATACACTAACAATTCTGGCAGATAGATAAGGCCTCTTGATCAGACTCGCTCCCTTTAAATATTCAACAAACCGAACTAATAAGTGTTAGGCTGCATACGAAGCAGCCGAGACACACTAAATATACTGCTACATTATGGAAAGACTCCAGTAAGAAGCGCTGTCATTGGGGCGAAAAAACACAAAACTTCAGTCAAAACCCAACCAGAGCATTCACCGAGGGAAAGGAGTGTCAACCTGATGCACTTTTTTGCCACAAATGCAGGGCTCAGTGTTCATGCATCGAGTAGACGTCCCAAAAGATTCATTTCGAATGAAGTTAGGAAGAAATAAAATATTTAACTATGCAGCGATCGTGTTTAATGATAGCATACCCGGATTAGTAACTCCGATTACTTAGTTTAGAACGTACAGGCTAGAAAAAACGGAAATCATTCATAAATTAAACAAGTTGACAAAACCAGATGAAAACATAAAGTCATATGTACCATACATAATTAACTTAGTTACAAAATATTAGCATTGCATAGGTAATATTATTCAAGGAAACACATAACAACACTAAATGAATAATCAATAGTTTTCGAGCTAGTAAGATTGCCAAAATAATTCTTGCTTTGTTGGAGCAGCTTACCTAAATCGACCAATTTTTCGTAAGTGCGAAAACATTTCACCACCATTTATGAAGTCCAGAACCATATACAAATTGCTGTTGTCCTAAAATGTAACAAAGCAACAGAATGAAATCACATTAAATTTGGGAAAAGCTGATGGAAGTAAAACATAAAGTTTTAAAAACCCAGATGTGTACCTTAAAATGATAATTTAATTTCACGAGGAAAGGAAAACTTATAGCCTGCAGGATTCGTTTTTCATTTAATGTATGTTCCACTTGTTTAAGCTTCACAACTTTCTGTTTGTCCAATATCTTCATAGCGTAGTAAGTTTTCTTGGCTTTATGCTGAACCAACATAACACGACCAAAGGATCCAGTTCCAAGTGTCTTAATCCTGTCGAAGTCATCAAGACATGCCGTGTTCTAAATAGACATAAACTACAATTTCAATAAATACCTGAGTCGGTTTTTCCCATTTGTCCAGAAATTCTTTCTTGGCATCATCAAGAAACGCCTTGACTAAAAAAGAAATAACATTCGACATAAGATGTATACAATTTAGCTTTTAGAAATGGAACCCATTTAGTTACCATCCGCTGGTTCGCCTTTTTTTGTCGCGGCAGCGTTACCCATTCGACAGCTAGTAGGATTTTAGAGCCTATTTGAAAGATTCGTGACCTTGAAACAAGCGACCGATATGCAGTAAAACAACAAGCAATTGCTTTGCAGCTAAAACCTTAGCCATACAACATAATTTATTTAAAAAATAGCATTTTACCATATGTAAATTTTTATTTAGTTGCATATCACACTTTTAAAAATATAACAACGCGGTTTGTTACGTTGTCGCAAATGCATTCGACAGTAGACCTCATGCTTGATTTGTGCCTCAATAATTTTATTATCTCCTGTGTCCTTACCTCTGTTTTTAGGCCAAATAACTTAATTTTACTATATTCTATGCTTTAGTTGTTCTAGATTCCTTTTATGCTCATAATTCAGACTACCACTTTACCACATGGTAACCAAATGTCAGAGATTTTGACATAAAGCAATTAAAGCTCAAAAATTTAAATGCTGCCTACTAATGATATTGTATAAAAAGTTGTTGAAGATCACCTGGCAAATAGTAAAAGCCAGAAAATGAATATTTTAATTTGGCCTACAGAGGTGCATGTTTAATATAAACATGATGCAAGGCTTTAGTCAAACTGATGATCTGATAGTATCATAGTAGATTTGTTGCAGATGGGTTTTGCACCTTCATATAAGTGGACATTTTTGTCGAATTTAACAGTACTGAAGAAAATAAATCGAGTAGCAGAAACTTATGCATCATTTCTAAAGTAATGAAACAACTTTTCGATACATTTTCAAAAAAAATTAGTGTTTCCAGGCCAGTAATCCTATAGTTATATTTAATGATGAAATAAACCCTCTTTTCTTGTGAGAAATTAGCCTACTCAGGCTAAATGAATCTGCTCTTTTTGATAGCAGTTTTTTACATTTGACACCAGAGTGTGAATAGACTAATTGACGTATGTTAAAATTAAAGAAAAGTTGTTACCAATACCAATGATGTCTTCTACTCAACTCTGTTCGAAACATAGAATATGCTTCTAAATACTAACATATCCAGGAGATTTAAACACTCCCAGCTCTTCTTAATCAAATAAATGTCCAATGGTGAAATTCATACTACTTTCCTGACAATAAGTAGGTATTAATATGACTATTAATCCAGTCGCCGAATAAAAATCCACTAAATTAACCCAAAATGTTAAAAAAGTATTTGCATAATGGTATTTGAAACAATTACATGTTTCATTGAAAATAATTTATGATTCTGTACATGGTAGTTAAAATAGGTCTTTCATACTACTAGATGGTCTGAAATCACATTACCACTGTTATTTTTGTGCTATACACTTGAAGTTAGAAAAGTGTTCCACATGCTGACTAATGAATCTAGGCCTTCCCCTATTTGAACAGGTGCTGAAATAGATAACTTACACTCAGAAAAGTCATTAATCTTCTCCAGGCCTGTGCTATCTGAGCTGGGACGCGTTAAAGGTAGGTGAAATCGCTTCTTTGTATTACTTGTTGTGTCCTCTTTAAACGAATTGCAAATATAATTTTAAATACGTTAACGGCACATGTTAGGCAACGTAAACCTTCGTAATAATGTTTCGATGCGGTGTTAGAGCAATTAATGGATAATTTATGGAAAAAATAAATAAAAAAAACACGTCTCCATAAAAATATGTTAGAAGTTAGGCATGATAGCCATGGGATGAGCAAAATTTATGCAAGGTAAAAAGCATAAGCTCAAGTTATGAAGTAAGAAATGAAATAAACGAATACGGTGACAATCAGTTTCAATGTTTGGAAAAATTTTCGTGTTTCTGAAAATGCCCCTTAAGAGCCTAACATTCTTCAAGTCGTGACCGGATCACTGGGCTGTCTTTTTAAGTTATTAGGAAATTAATTTCAAAAAAAGCCACCTAAAAACAATTTCCTTTACTGAAATCACGTAACACTCTGCCTTCAAAAAGAAATAGTCGTTTGGAGATGCATTGATTAATGAGGAAATGCTGGTTCTTTTTAAAAAATAGTGTTGATTGTGTTAAAGACATCACGCCCTGAATAAATAGTTTTCTTTGTTATTACTTGCTACTTATAATGAATTGCGTAGCAAGTAAATTGATGGTACCTCATAAAGAATACGCAAAATAGGTTCTACTTCTAATAGTGCTAATTTAGTACTTTAAAATATTGAGAAATCAACGTGACTTAACAAAAAAAACACTGATAGATATAATCTCCTAATTACTAAAAAAGAGAAGAATTTAGGCACTTAGCAGGAGGATTGAAATATTGCACAAAGAGGATATGTGGGAAAGGGGTGTGGCGTCAGTAATCTTATTTTTGAAAATGCTCATGAATCTGCCTATTCGCATGAATTTTAAAAATAATAAGCCTTATTTTTTGTGTTTTAGTGGCAATTAAAACTGCTGTTTGCAGCAGGTTCTGATATTGTGGGCTGCGGTAATTACTATTCTGACCAGACATCCGTGCCTAGGGATATGTCGCACGCAAGAGGAATGAAGCTGGTGTAAGGGGGTAGACAGACTTGTCCCAAATGCACGTGTGCAAATCGTTAATGTCTGATTTGAAAGCTTCATGCTAAAGAACACTTAGAAGCGTAACCTGGCACATCGTCAAGTAAATTCCCATCAACAGCTCTCCCATGGATACGTCAATTTTCGTGAAAAACAAATGCGCACAAATCGTCGTTATTTACCAAATAATCTCTTTAAAAGACAGGACACGAGCGTATTTCACTAAACCGCTCGGGTAATTTCGCAAAATAGCGATGCAAAGCAATAGAAAGCTGAGGGTTAATTTTTGGCTAAACCGTTAATAAGGCACCATCTGCAATACGGAAGCATTTTTCATGGATGAAATTATAGAGGCAACACTGTAATAGTTCGTCGAATAAAAAAATGATTAAGGCATTGTATTGCTGTCTAACTGTGGGATTTTATTCACGTCATCGCATGAAATTGGCATCTTGTGCGTTGATTGGTCAATATCCTTTCGATTTAAAAAGAATAAATTCGAATACCAATTAAACGGTCTTGCGTAAGTAGCTCAAGACGCTCGTTTGTTTCTTGCTCCCATAAAATTCACCGCGTGGCATTCTAGAATAAGTGCTTTACTGCAGCGGTTTATGGAGTTCTTATTGGGATTTAAAATGACTGAAATAGCCCATTTTTATGGCTTCTAGTCTCTGGATTTAAAAATGGAACAAGCGTTGGGCTCCTAGAGAGAAAAGATTCATGATTAAGTCAAAAACCGTGAATTATTTAGTTAGGACTGCAATATCGCAAACACACGTGCAAATGTGAGTTAAATAATTTCGACACACACGTTTTGAAAATTCAACAAGCTACGATAGCCACTTATGACTAACAAAGACACTTGCTAACTCGGCATGTGACAATACCATTTGAGAAATTCACAATCATTTTGGCACACATCTTTGCTCACGGCGTTTTCTAAGAAGACAGAAATTAATGTGTTGTGCTGCTTCGGATCAAGCACCAAAGATAATGTTTCATGTTGATAAGCTTGATAGCGATGCCAAATAAGAATTTTTGATCTCAAAATGCAAGCTAAACACCTTCAAATTTCGAAATTGGCAAGGGAACTTCTGTTTGTTTTTAAGGAAAACGAGCCGCCGTTTAGGCAGTAAAGACGGCATCCGTGGTTAGCAGTATCAGAAGAGTCGGTTGTTGAGCCACTTGACAAATGGTGAACGCATTTTGATTAACTTTCGGAGGCAATAAAATCGGGCTTAACATATTCTGGACACGCAAGCACTTGCCTCCAAGGCAACGGAATTTCCAGTTTTCTTAGCTTTCTTGTCTTGGACATTAGTTCGAGATTGCCAACACTTGGGAATCTCATCGGTCCGCAGGAGAGGCATAAGTCTAAAATTCATTCGCATCAAAAGCAAAATGCCTTACAAAATGTACCAGTGCTTTTAAATTTTTGGTATTCAACTGCATCACAAACCAGATTGACCATCCCAAGATTAAGCAAACTTGCTTGCTGAGTAAGAACCGATTTACTGCCTATGTTTGTTTAATCTGCAGATTAAAGAACTGGCAATTCAGCTTGGACGATGCGAATTTTACCATTTTGCCGACTGGCAGAAGGAAGCAAAGCAGCATAGCTGACATTTACCGTAAAATCCAAGAAGGCGAATGGCGGCGCAATGAACATTAGCCTGCTAAGAGGAGTCAAGCACCTCAAGAAGTGTAATGATGCATGGCACTTGTTATTTCACCACAAAGAAATAATCGTAAACCATATTTTACGCAAGACCAGACGCAAGAGAGGCGTACTACCGCCTGTCAACCTACTGAAACAGTGCCACCAACACGGTTTACTAGGAGTTGCATTTACACGCACACAA